AGCACTGAATAGTTGAACAGGGACAGGCAGTGACATAGGTACGAAGGAATGGGATAGTGGAAGGGTTAGCATCAGCTGCAGCTCTGGGGTTTGTTTGCTGTGGTCGAGTCCAAGCTTGGGCCTCAACAGTATTTTGACAATCTCTTGTAAGTAAAAATAGTAATAGTGGCTGACGGACGCCAGCACAACACAGAGAGAAGCAGGGGGACTAGTAATTCATTGCACTCTCGGCTGCTTTGTTAGGGTCCTTAGTAAGAAATGGGCTCCTTTGCCATTCTAATGCAAAGCTGACACGCGGCTAATTTGCAGAACGATCTGTTTAACGCTGCAATTAGCAGTAGAACTGCAATTATGCCACCTCCGAGGCTGTCATAATACCAAAGAGAGAGTCTGTCAAGAGTCATAGCTATTTTTGTGGTCATTGAGCTCTGCTTCATGCATGGCCTTAGAGGTCTAAAGAAGGCGGGGGTTTCACTTCACAGCTTTTCCAAAGAAAGATGGACATGGTTGCTCCTCCAAATTTCTCTCTTCCATGGGGTCTGCGGGTAGAGTAGAGGGGCACAGGGTTTGAGTCTGCTGAGGAGTGAATGCAGGACGGCTCAGTTTTGCTTCCAAAATGAACGGTGATGGGGGCCCAGAGTGCCCAGTGTGTGTATGCAGACTTATGAGATATTATGTGAGTTTATCTGTGTCTTTACCCTGCCCCGTGTCTGCATGCAAGCTTCTGACACATTCCCTGGGTCTACTGTGCCCTGGGTCTGTATACTACCTTACTACCTCGCAATAAATTTGCTGGATTTGTCCCACATCTGTATGCTAGCTCATGAGATATTCCCTGGATTTATCACGCCCTGTGTGTGTATGCAAACATATGATATATGATATATTCTGTGGATTTATCGTGCCCCATGCCTGCCATTTATGAGCACTAATAGATTATGTATTCATTTAGCATATACAGTGTTGGCATATTGTTCCAGCCATCTTAAGGCAACGTCGTTGCCACTGTGAAGAGCTTGAAGGCCACCAGAAAGCGCTGTAAATGGACACAAGTCAACCATGCGGTGTTTGAACTTGTCCGCCAGGACACGTGTTGTCATTGCAGAGGTCCCATTGGTATAGATTTGAGGCATAGTGACCCGGTCCAGTTTGAAACTGGTTGAAAAGTGCCCAATAACGGCGTGGCCAGTTAAATCCTGGTTGACTGACTGTAGGGTCAAGAGATGACGTGGTGATGGATCGGTGCTTGTGCCGGCCATTCTTCATGCCATTGAGTCGGTATGGAAAAGTCAAAGGGTTTTGCAAGGGTGGACCATATGGGACGTCTGGAGGGGAGCTGAGCTATTGGTGGGTGGAAGATGTCCCAGTGCACTGGTAGCATAGGATTATCCCATAGTCTGGCTACTTCATTCGTGTGGTGGAGGTGAGGGGGAGCATCCAGGTGAAATCACTGCTCTCTTTCCTGTTGTCCCATTCCTTCGGGTGCTTATCAAGTCAGGCACAAGGGATGTCTAAAATAAAAATAGAGTTTACCAAGCTTCATCTTTCAGTGGAGGAGAAGACGGTAGTATTCAGACCTCCCTTATGCCTTGGCTTTGGGTTAGACCCCAGCCTTATTAATGCTGAAACAATACAACCAGCTTTCTTCCTCATCGCATCGGTGCTCTTCGGTACTGGGTTGCCTTCTGTCTTCACGTGGGGAGTGAGAGGCATTGGTGTTTTCTATTTCTTTTTGTGGATTGGCAGAAACCTCCGTGGAGCTCGTTTCTCCTTATGCTTTAGAAATGCAGGGTGTTGAGCCAGGAGCAGAGGATCTGGGCTGGACTGGGACTGAGCGAGGAGGAAGCCAGTGGAAAGGGGGTGGACTTGAGCAGAAATGTCTGTCGAGGGTGGGGACGTGGAGCCGAACGGTGCGGGTGGAATAGCGCCGTGTGTAGTCCAGGCCTTTTTAGATGTCTCTTGAAACTGCCCCTGCTCAGGGCCACCCAGCAGCAGATGCAGCGTTCAGAAATTCTCCCAGAAGCTCCTTGCGTGCCTTCGCTTTATTGCCTCGGTACCACGAAACTTCAGCGGTCCTGCAAGCCCAGTAAAATTCAGAAATGTTCGGCAGCTCCTGGATTTGACAGGAACGGTCCATGTGGTATCTTAGCAACAGAAGTCACGTTTCTCTTCGTAGATGGGAACGACATCTTTTCTTTTTAACGGCTCGGTGCTGCCGAACATGGCTCTGACGTGAGACTGAGTCATCCGTGTTTCAGGGATGTTGCTGCGGTCCCGCGACGGCTCTTATTCTGCTGCAGCCTAGCTCAACTCTGGCAGTGCAGAAGCAAACCCAGAATCCAGGGTAAATGCAAGAGTGGCTGATGGCGGCAGTGGAGATACGGGTCGAGGGATGTTGTGGTGGACCCGAGGTTTTTCTGAGAAGCGTTTGAACTTTGTAAGATTTACACGAAGTGGAAAGCAAGCCAACAAAACCTTGTCCACTTTTCCTGGGCCGCAAGTCACATGTAAAACCAGGCTTTCCCCACCATTCAACATCGCGCGGGCGTTCACGTGTTATATTTCATGCTGGAAGTCACTGATGTGGGAACTGGGACGTATCGGTGCTCCCGATTCTTGGCTGGAGGTCCGGCCCTATGAGTTCGGTGAGATCCATAAATAATGGACTTCACTCTTCGGGTTTACGCTACCTGGCTATTCAGAGATCTGGCTCAGTTCTTCACCTTCTTTGCAAGCTTGCCCTGGGTTTGATGTACAACCTGGGGGGATCGCTTGAGGGAAAGCAGTGCTTCATTCATCGTTCCAGAGTCGCGGTCAGGAATATAAGAGGACATTTCAGAGAAAACAAGTGGCTGGTGACCACTAACTAGTTTTCATCTGCTGGGAACATGCGCTGTCTAAAATATGGAAGAGAAATAACCACCTCATGGACAGTGTCAGCTGGGCGGTACATACAATATATGATAGTGGGTGTGTCTACATGTGCATTTACACCAGCTCAAATTTACTGCGCAGTAAATTACTGTGTAGCAAGCAGGAGTAGGCTGGCATCTACACGTGCAGGCATTAAAGTGCATTAATGCTGTGTGCAGACTGACTTGGGACTAAAGTTAGTCCCAAGGCAGCCCATACACACAGTGTTACTGTGCCGTAAGGCGTCTCCATGTGTGTTACTGCGCAATAACTAATCGGGCATAAATTTGATACCTGCATGATGCCGGTATCAAATTTACGCTCAAGTTGGCATAAGTCACCGTATTTACTGCGCACGTGTAGACGTGTGCCCGTACTGTGCAGTAATTTTGGTTGCTGTGCAGTAAATGCACACATGTAGACGAGGCCACAGTGAACAAGCCGTGTGGGGATAACACAGAAAGCAGCCAGTTTCATTGGAGATTTACAGGTGGTCCTTGGGCAAGCAATCCCACCGGACAGGGCATTAATTGTATTTCCTCAATGAAATTGCATGCCACTAATAATGCAGAAAATGGACAGTGAATGCGGCAGCTGCTCTGCATCGTTTGGATAATAGTGTAACGGGGGAGAGTCGCTCTTCTGTTCAAACAGTGACAGGTTTCCATCTTGGAGGTCTAAAGCAAAAAGGTCAAGTACCTGTTTTTAAACAGTGTTTGGCTCCCTCGCGCTTATCCTCCTCACAACTGGAGAGTGGCACTTACTGCTCTTTTTAGAGAACAAGATAGCAGCATGTGGTTCCCGGCGAGATAAATAACAGAGCCCGCAGCATTTAGACCCACATCCCAGCAGCCAGGACACACGCAGGGCCCAATCCTGCAGTCCTTGCACTGGCACATCCTCCCGCACGACCTTGCAATGTGTAACCTGGTGCAATGAGTGAGAGCCCAGGAGCTGTGCAAAGGGCTGGGGGACTGGGTTTTGGAGCCCCAGACTGCACACAAGTCCCTTTTCTCAATGATTATGTTAACTTTGTGGTTATAAATGCAGAGGGTGAGACCCTCAGCTGGGTTATGCGGCTCTAACCAGGGCCAGATTAACCCTTCAGTGGGCCCTAGGCAAATGAACTTGTGGGCCCCTACTCAATACTGTATATTTATATTACTTTTTTTCACTCAGTAATTATACTATGTAAAATAAGCACAACTGGGCCCCTTCTTCACTTACGGCCTTGGGCATGTGCCTAGCTTGCCTATGCATTAATCCAGCCCTGGTTATAACTGCTTGGATCTAGACCAGCCAAGCTAACAGGTTATAGCTCCCACCCCTGCATAGGTAAGGGAGGCTTTGTGACTGCCAAATGAGCTTATATCTGGGGCTGAAGTTATAGGGCATAGCACAGAGCGTGTCTGCACGCTTGCTCTGGGTGCCCTGGCTTCCAGGTATCGCTTATGGTGCCAACGTCCATCTTCTCTGTTTCACCCCAACGGCTGAATAGCTGCCTCTGGTTCCAGCTGCAGTCGAGGGCAGCTGGAGTCGTTGTCTTGTGCCTCTCTAAATTTGAAGTATGGAGGCAGGGCACTCTTGCAGTGGGGATTTTGTCTTTGCCTCCTGGCCTAGGAAAGCTGGGATGTGTTGTCTCCGGGACCTGGTGAGAGTGCTGATCCCTGCAGGGTACCTGGGGTGATCCTTGGTCTTCCATGCTAGAGGAGATCCCATGCTATAGAAGAACCGGCGGCTTCCCAGCCCCTTTGTACTGTGGAAGCTGCAGAGAAAAGGTAAAAGAGGGTTGTGATAGAGTCCTCCAAACCTCATCTAAATAAGACTTTGGGTAAATGCTTGTTGTTACTATGACTGTCCATTTATATCATATTTGCTTGAACTATTAGCAGCCTGCTCTGCACAGTGGTCTAACGCCCTTCTTTTTCACATCTCTTTCATAGCATGTGTTGTGGGAAGAGCTCTGGGAGAAGGATAGAGACACCACCTGATGGGCTGAGATGCTTTTAGGGGTGGGAGGATGCGGAGAGGACGGCACTGCCGACGGCAGCTCCGATTAATTCAGTCCTTTCTCGATTTCCTCGCAGGGTCCAAGTCGAGTTCTATGTAAATGAGAACACCTTTAAAGAGCGACTCAAGCTGTTCTTCATCAAAAACCAAAGATCAAGTAAGTGTTTGCACCAAAGCTCTCCTTTAAAATCCTTCTTCTCCAGATAACTAGGATCATGTCTGTCTGTAATGACACGGGGGAGAACAATATGAAACTGTTTAACTCGCTTCAGACTACACCAGTGAATTGTGTTGGTTTTCTTACAGTCTTGCTTTTGCTCTTTCTTTTGTTTGTTCGTCCTTTCTTTAGTCTTTTCTTTCATTCTGTTCTTGCTTTATTTCATTCGTTCTTTCTTTCTTTTGTTCTTTCATTTTTTCCTTAGTCTTTTCATTCGTTCCTTCGTTCTTTCCTTTTTTTTGTTTCTGCTGGTTCTCGAATGGAAAACTTGCACCATCTAGTGGTTCCCATTTGCAGTCTTGTGTCCTTGACACCGCCACTCCCAATGGATCTGTTCTCTGATACCAGGTTTTCGACGTGCTGTTCCTCAGCCTGAGTGATAGTGTTGCTGTATGGTAGCCCCCGTGTCAATGCTACACGTAGCAGCTGCCGGATTAATGAAATTCATCTGTGAAAGCAGATTGGTGTGGGAGTGGGTTTCCTCTCTTTCTGAAGAACAAGGCTCCACAAGGAAGATGGGAAAGCAGGATGTATTTTTGCCATCAGCATCTCAGGCATTTGCATGGCATTCTCTACTACAGCGTGCAAGGACAATTTACAGGGGGCCAAATTGTGAGTTATACTGAGCACTATTAATACCTGCCCATACCAGTGGTGCTCAGTGCCTCGGGATCTGCAGGAAGAATGATTGCCCCAATTGCAGTGAGCCAATGCTCTAGCCTGCCCCGAGCTTGGAGGGAAAATTCATATGAAAGGATTCATCACAGTGGTGTCAGTAGTTTAATAAACAGGCTGGAGAGAGACATAGATTCTGGTGAGAGTGACTATTGCAGGGGACAGCTGGGATGCAGGGACATATAGTGCAAGATGAATTCTCATGGAGGCAAGGTGCAGAGAAGGGCTATGAGGATGGAAATGAAGAGCCTGTTGTCTGCAAGCCTGCACTGGTTTGGCCTGAATGGGGACACGATGACTTTCTGCAAATATATCAAGGAGCAAACAGCAGGGAGAAGAGCTGCCAGCTAAAGGGAAGTATTGGCACAAGAACTGATGGGTGGAAAATGACCATGAATAAGTTTGGCTGGAGATTTAGAAGATGATCCCTAACCATTGGAGCAGTGAGGTTCTAGAGCAGCCTCCTAACAGGAGTTGTAGAGACCAAAAACCACCACTATTTTGAAGACGAAGCTCAATAAATTAATGAAAAGGATTGCGGTATGCGTTTGCCTGTGACAGCAGGGCCTGGACTGGTTGAACGCAGAAGTCCCTTCCAGGCCCACGCTCCTATGAATGCCCATTCTTTGCAGTGAGTCTGTTGCATTAGCAATGAGCAGCACAGCGATGTGTGCATGCACGTGCCCCGAATGCAAGCGGTCCTCTCATCGGGACCTAAGCACGCATGTCGATGTTAATCCAGGGGCAGTGCGAAGCTGAGACGGTGCAGGCTGGGTGCATTTGGTTTTGCACGTGCACCTTAAACACGGCCCGATGCTCACAGGCACGATTGTCGTGGCATTTGGGAAACTCTCTGGCATAGCCCCATAGTCTGCATCGTCCCAGCCTCTTTCAGCCCTGGGCTAAACATCTGAATTTGTACGGCTTACTCTGGCTGCGGGCAATACCCATCCTGGGCTAGTTCATATTGAAGCTGAGGGCCACCTCCCGTGTTTCCTTGTCTAGCGCTAGCGCCACAAGCAGTGGGTCGTCCTCCTCCATTTCAGCCCTCGCGCCTCTCCTGCTTCGACTCCACAGACCAGATTCTGCTTGAATACCTCTGCCTTCATCTTCTGTCAGAGATAAAGCATTAATTGCCTGGAGGGAATTAACAAGCGAATTTATAATTTCATGTTTCCTTTTGATCGGTGCATCTCGTGTGCTTGTTAAATAGCTGGAGTGTGGCAGGACAGGGTGCCCAAGGGAGGAAGCGTTTAATGGAAATGTGGTGAATTTCTAACTTGCAATTTGAGTAATAGCCTGATGATCCGGCTGGGGAGAGGAGGAAGTGGAAAACGTGACAGTTTTTATCTCCCATTTCTCCTTCAGCAAGGCATTAAGCAAATGGCGAGCAATGAGTGGACTTCTCTCGTTTATAAGCAGCCTTGTCTTTTGTCACGAGTGCCAGCTTCTCCTGGGCTAAGCAGCCCACCTCCCTCTCCGACATTTTGGGGCCTGCAAAGAGTTGACTCATTTAATTTATTCCCTTTTTGGCCTTTGATTTCTTTGAAGCTGTGCAGGATGCCGAGTGAAGCACGCAAGCCTGGAGAAAAGTTTGTGCAGCACTCTGGGTCTCCTGGAAGCCACACTAGCAGCCGGAAAGGCAATGATTAGGCATCCTACCACGTATGCTATAATAAGTAGCACAAATTATGGTGTTTGTTCATTCTTGCACTTAAAGAATAATGGATGTTTTAAATACTAATGAAACAGATGTTCCAAGTATGGAGTGTGGCTGACAGGGCTTTGGGTATTTTTGTATCCCATCATGAGCTGCGTGGTCTTTTAGAAAGCCTTAAATGCAGAGTTCACTACAAGTTTCTGGCAAAATCAGCAGGGCTTGCAAAGATCAGAAGGTAAGAGTGCGTTCAGAGACCGAGGGCCAGACCACACCGCTCTGCCAGTTTATTCAGGGCCTGAGTCAGTGCCCTGCTCTTTGGTCGGCTTCCTTGGTCAAGTCTCTGTGCTCCGGCATGCCTGCAACAGTGAGTTAATAGTGCTGCCCTTCCTTCATTTCACAACATACATAGCCAACCCAGTCTGCCCCTGTGTTTGCAGTCGCTGGTGGGTGCAGAATTCGATGCCGGGTGGAGTTGTTTCCTTCAAGCACATGTCCCACAACTATCAAAAGTCATTTCCAGTGAAAACCATAGATCTGAAGCCCCCATTTGATATTGCACCTGTGCAGAGCCCGGCTGAACTTGAAAGCCTCTGCAATCCCCCGCTGCAGACTTCATTGCAGGACTGAGGACGTATTTTGCACTTCTGCAAAATTGGTCGAGCCTCTGGAGCAGCGACCCTCAACCTGGGTGCCTTGAGATCCTTTCAAGGGTGCCATGGGGTGCCACGTAATATTAGCATAATATTAGGGGTGTAAATGCGATTTTCAAAGATTTCAAAGATTGGGGGTTGGACTTGATGATCTGTTTAGGTCCCTTCTGACCCTAGCTACTATGATACAAATGGAAATCCATTGTTTAAACAGCTTACTGGCCTGCTGTTGTGGTCTCTCTGACTTGTTTGCAACAGAAGAATTGCTCTAGTATTTGTCTCCAGTCAAAAAGCAAGTGAAAGCTAAGAGCTGGCATTTTCCAAGGGGGACCTTGAGTCTAAAGAGGGATGCCTTGATTGTCACATGGGCTGCCTTGAATCTAAAAAAGGTTGAGAACCACTGCTTTAGACGTTTGACTTTTGCAAGTGAAGGTCCGTTGACTTGGCAGGGGGGTGCATCCCCTTCACCCGGTGCAGACGTAGCCCGTGGAGCCCCCTGCCACAAGGCAGAGCACAAGACCAAACACGAAACCAGGATTCAGAAGCAACTGGAAGTTCATGTTTCTAGGCGGGGAGTTATAATAGTAATAGTAAAAACAATGTGGAGGGGATCTCAAACCTGCTGCCAGCCCTTAACTAACGAGGGTCAGGAGAACATCTTCATGGTTGGCAGGGTCTCACAAAGTGCAGGGCTTGTTGCACTCCCACAGAGGCATCTCATACTGGTGGTGGTGAGCGAGCAGGGGGCTGGGTTGCGTGGCCTGCTGGTCTCATCTTGAGCCCGGTGTCACCATGACCCATTCGATTGCCCTACATGTGCGTGCGTCTTTTTATATGTCTATGCTACATGAGCAGCCTTGCACTGGGTTTTTTTACTGGCTGTGTGTTTCCCTCTTTCACTGCCTTTTCGCCCCTTGTCTTTTCTGCTGCAGGCCTGAGGATACGGCTATTCAACTTTTCTCTGAAGCTTCTTACCTGCCTTCTCTATATTGTACGTGTCCTGCTTGATAACCCAGCAGAGGGGATAGGATGGTAAGTCTGTCTGTCCAGTCTGTCCACAGCTAGCTTCAAGTTTTGTTGATCTTCCAATAGCACAGCACGATTTGAGCCAACAAACTATCAATTCATGGGTCTGGAAATGCTTTCAGATCTTCCACTGTGTTTGCCCATCAGTGGCCGGTAACCAGTCCCAGATAAAGGCAGCTCGTGTTCTGTCCTCCGCACCATAGTTCTGCATCTGCAGATGGGAAATAGCAACAGGAGAACAGTTTGAAAAGCAATTTCTATGCTAAATGTGAGGACTGGTACTAGTATTGGCAGTGTGATTGTTTCTGCCTCGTTTCCTGTTGCTTTTTACCCAGGCAAAAATAGGGCTGTTTCTCCTGCCTTGTTGCATTCTCTCTTTTTAGTTGTTGTTCCTCGAATATGCATTTTTTTGGCCTCTTAGCAGTTGACTTGAAATTAAGGTATCGGGATACTATTGCAAACTGTATAGAATAGCCATGCCAGGCATGCAGTATGAGGTCTAGCCACCTGCACACCCACAGTACGCAGAAATCCGAACCAAGGGTTTTCGGCACTGTGATAGATGTCCAGAGCTCTGCTCCTTGATCAAAGGGAAGTGTGCCTGCATGCAGACGCGTGTGATTTCATCCAGAAGACAATAATGGACACTGATTAGAGCATTTAAAATTATTTCACCTAACCTGCCTCTAGCAGCATTTCTCTTATGCAGGGGTGGTATTTCTCCTTCTGGCCTTTTCTGACTATCTTCTTCATCTAAACTACTCCTAAAGGATGCTACTTAAACAGGAGGTATTCACTTATGCTGCGTAGCTGGTCCAATAAAAGATATCAACCTAGGAAATCCTTGCCTCTGACTATCTTAAATATTTAAAATCCTTGTTAATTCTTCCCACTCTGTTTTAATTAAAAAGAAAATCCCCAGTTATCTAAATAGATTTACCCAGTGGCAGAGAGTATTCCTGTAACCAGAGCTACAACCGTCTGCCCTCCCTCCGCGTTCACCCGGATTTATCCTCTACTTGCAGTGATGATGGGGACCATAAATTTGAATGTCTGAGTTTTTCTGCTCTGATGATCATTACCATGACACATCTTTTATTCTTACTCTTACTCTTCATCTCAGTCTTCATCTCAGTCTTATTACGGGAATCAGTTATGGTGGACATTTTATGTTGGCTTCCTGTGCTGTCATTGCTATTGGACTTGAAGTCATTGGACCCTGCAGAAGTTGGACATTTTTAATGCATGTTTGTTCAGCTACAGAGGACATTGATGGACCGCACGGAGCGGGATGAGCGTGGGTGCATTGGGAGATGGGGTTGGGTACCCCATCCTGGAGATGGGGATGGAGAAGGTCTAGAAGAGACTGTTTCCAGACACTGAAGAACTATTTGCCAAATGTATTTTGCAACACAGCTGTCATTGCCTCTCCCCGCGGCCCTTTTCAGCAAGCCAACCTTTCAGCTGAAGTTTTAGAAGTACTTTTGATTTCCCTTGTGTCCTTAGAAGTTCTGTTTGAAATCCATTCAGACATTTCTGATGTAAGTGTTTTTTCTTCCCTGCCTTCATCCTCTTCCTAGAAAGGTTGAAATGTCAGCGATGCATGGAGATGAAAAATAAAGCTACGTGTTAAGGAACAGGGGAGCTCTATCAAAGTTTTTCACAGCGGGAAATGGCAACGCGTAGTTCTGAATAGCTGCGTATCTCTTCATCAAAGAAGTGAATACAGCCGTCAGTCTGTGCAACACTCGGTAGTCGAGCCACTGTCCTTGCAGACATGGAAAGGAAGAAGCGTTAGCAAGAATCTCACTCCTGCTGTAGCTAGCAAAAATACGGGGTGGATGTCTTGTGGCATCTTGTCATGCCTCATTGTCTGAGACTCCCTGAAGCAAGTGACTGTGTTCACCAGCCTTGCACGATGCACTTGAAAATAAAGCTGGATGGGAATTTCAGAGGACAGGGAGAAACATTGTCATTGGGATTTTTCCAAACATGTTGTGAAAGTTTCGGGGGGGTCAAATTTTCAAATGATGCATTGCAGCCTGTTCTACAAACTGGCCAGAAAAACAGCCAGAAAAAGACAATTTCATTGACAAACTAAAATATTCGTGATGAACGAAAGTGTTTCAGTTCTGGAAGGCCACGACAGTGCCCCGTGGTGTCTTGTCCCTTCATGGTGCGTCGTGGCGTTGGCCGGCACGTGGAGAAGACGCCGTGAAAGCCGGTCGCACCTGAGCCCCATCTTCCATGAAGCCCTGCAGCAGCATTTTCAGAATAGATATACTTTTTTTCTTGCTAAAACCTCCCATTTTTTCTCTGAAATAAACCCATTTTCTGATCACCCTGTTGCGGCTGCAATTTTGCAAATAGGTTAGACAGCGGGTTTGTATAGGATGGTCTGGATGGCGTTGGCAGGGGGTTGGTCTAAATGGCCTGTCAAGGTCCCTTCCAGCCCGACTTCTCTCTGAGTCTATCACCACCTTTAATTTGTATTTCCCCGTTCCCCCTCCTGGCGTGTCGTGGCCCTCTGCTCGCAGGTCTAGTTTAGCGGTGACAGTAAAAAATTATTCTGCCTATGAGCTCCTTTCAGCTCTGACTTCAAAATGACTCCTCCATTTTACTGAAACGCATCATTCAAATTGCCTTCGGACATGGTGCAAAAGCACAAGATTTCAGTGCCGTGCCAAGCAAATGTTTTCTGTATGTTGACATTTTTAAAGGCTCTGACTCTAAGTCCTGATTGAAGCCTTGTGAAAGGAAATACGCTTGGCCGTTTAGAGACCGGAGCTGACAGGCAGTTAAATGCACCAGCTTTGCTGTGTCCATTATGGATTTCCTTGTTTTGTTGGCCGCAAACAGACATAACTTCTCCCAGAGTCGGGGCACGGAGTGAAAGTCTGTTAGTCTTCTCTCTTGCAAGTCGGCGAGCTCCGAGGCTAGGTGCGATGGGAGGGCGAGGAGAAACAGGACAGTTAGCACTAAGGCAGAGCTCTTGCATGTCCTTCACACCCCATAGGAAGGAAACGTGTCTATGTTTTCAACTTAGGTGGAGAATTAAGTGCAATGCCCAAGCCCACCGAGTGAATCAGTGTCGGACGATGGCTACAAGTCCAAACTCCCTGGATTTAGTTTCTAGGTTTGGACTGAGCCTTTTCTGTTTCTACACCATTTCATGATCTGGATCACTGGGGGAGCCAGTTCTCTGTGAGACTGGCAATCCAGTTGACTCTTGGAAGAAAAGCAACATCCCTGCAGCTTGATGAGAAGAAACGAATTCCAACTTCTCCTGCCAGAGAAAGCCCGGCTAATTAGAGACCCTCCAAAAACACCTTCGCTCTTTCTAGGTGGATGTAGTCCTTTACGTTTGCCTGCACCAAAGAGCACGTTTGGAAGAGGGGCTTCATTACAAGGGGCATTTGCATTCTCGAAGGGTGTTTTCAGGTCCTTAGGACTTGATGGGCACAACGCGTGCTGCCGCCAGGAGAAACTGCCTCAGCCTGACGAAGGGTTTTTAAACTTACATTTTTTTTCCCCCAACTGTTTAAGTTGGTCTGCTGAAAGATATCAGATTCACCCAAAGAACCTTGTCCGCCGATAGATTTTACACTTGAGAGGCAGAACTAGCAGCTTGTAGCAGAAACTCCTTCCCCAGGTTGGGACAAATGATCAGCCACGGGCATGTAATAAAAGCTGGTCAGCAGCACGAGTGCATCCTCTCTTGCTGAAGTCCTGGCTTCTGTACCCTCCACATGCTTGTCGGTGCTCTTTGCCTGGCTAGTTATTCTGGAGGGCAGCTACCTTATCCTAGAAATAAAAGATCTGCAGCATCTTCTGCGTTGCAGTGATGGTTTATTCGGAGACAGCTCCAGCAGTGCTAGATTTGGCCGCGCTAACAGTCATCCCTGGGGAGTGCCTATACTCTACTCACTCTTAGCTCCCTGTTGCTCTGCCCCCTTCATTTCGGATCACTGCTTCTGCCGGTATGGGATGTACAGCCCCTTCTTTGCCTGCTGGAGGACCGCTGCCCACCTCCTTATTCGATACTTTCAGGACATCCGAATGACTTCGCCCTTAGGTCCCATTGAAAGGCAATGGGATTTAGGCAATGGGGTTTAGCTGCTCTGGAGTATGTTACCCAGTGATGTTTTCAGCACTGCGGTGGAACAGAGGTGACAGCCCACAAGCCCAGAGGGGAAAGCCAAACCTGCCATTTAATTCATTTATTCATTCCCTGCCGGCATCTGGCGCACAGTGTTTAGACTTTTAAAAACCCGTTATCATGCACTAACGAAAGACCCAGTGGCAGGTGTCCTGGAAAGGGTTATCATGCACTAACGAAAGACCCAGTGGCAGGGGTCCTGGAAAGAGCATTTGCAAGGAACTCTTGCAGTTCCTTATAACATCACAACCCCTATTTTCAGCAGGGAGCTGCCTCCATAGTAAATGGCTCGCAAGGGCATAGCATCGAAGCATCTCCCAGCCTGTAGCAGGTTTACCTGCGCCCCGCGCCGTGCAGCATGGAAGTGCTGTAGTGTCAGCCCCACATGACGGGTACCTGTCTGGCCCCTGGCTCACTCAGGGTCATGCGGGTGATCCACGGCAGAGCAGGGCTCTCCCTTGGCCCTAAGCTAATGACCTGTTACAGGCCCCATCTTCCTCTCCCTAAGTGAGCAACTCGCTTTGCACCAGAATCAAATGGTCTTTGGAAGCCAGCCGTATCTTTCTCAGATGTGCGCACGTCTCTGAAATGCTGGTTGGCGCACGGCAGTCGTCTTCTCTCTCTGTCTTTCCCACAACCCACTTGTCTAAGATGCTTCCCCGGGAAGAGTTATGCTGTCTGGCGCCAAACGCATGTGCCAGACAGGATGAATCATGTCTTGCACGCATCTCCATTTCCCTTCCTCAACATCTTGGGGTTCTTCGAACTTGGTTCGTGGTCAGCTGTCCCGGAGAAGGGAAAGACAGGCTTGGGTTTATATTCTGTTGCCAAGAATTGGCATTAGCGGCTCGGCTTTTTACTTTAGATTGCTCTAGGGAAAAATGCTATTTATTTGTGTTTCTTTGCCCTGCTAAACCAGTGCAGCGAGGTTACCTGCATTACCTGGTCTGGATACAGGCTGCGTGCCGGCAGCTCTGAGGAAAGTCAATGGGATCTAGAGCCCTTTGACGTCTGGCTCTGTGAATTAAAAACAACACTGAGAGCTTGGCAGGACTATTCGTACTAAACCACACTGCATATAGGAGGGGTTTCTGCCGTTTCCAGCACCCGCCTCCTTTTTAGCACACTGTTTTTTGTATTGACGTGCCTTGCCTTGCTTCGCGGGGTTAAGAGGCAAAGTGTGTTTAGCCGTTACATCGGACTGGTTGCATCTCACCTGGTTAATGTGTCTCTTGTCTTAGCTGGGAATGCGAGAAGCAGAATTACACGACCTTCAACCAGTCCACAGATATCAACTGGTAAGACGCCGACAGCCTGCACCTCCGGCTCTGCTCTAGCTGCTTGCTGGGAAACCTAGGGCTGTGAACTGATGCTTGCTGGCTGCTCATAAAAACCTCTTGTTCATAGAGGTGCATGCCTGGGGGCCTGCACACATGAGCACTGCCTCCCCTGTTGCTCCTACTCGCATGCACATATCAAACGCGGAAAGGTGGCAGGCTCTCCAGAGGCCCCTTTGCGGCTGCTCTCAAGCCCACTGGAGGTGGAGATCTCGAGAGAGACGACAGGACTGTCGTGCTTGTGGGTTTGCGATCAGGAGTGGGGTGGTGGAGCACGGCTGAGAGCCCCTGGGCTCAGACCCACTCTCAGGGTCTCCCTGGGGGTTCGCTTTTTGCTAACATTTTGGCAAAGGCAACTGCCGTGAATTAGATGGGCCAAACCCAAACTCTTTAGCTCGAACTGACTCCCACCAGAGGAAGAGATTCAGATCTGGATGTAGACTTTTCACCTTTGGATGTGAATATTACGGCTGCAAAAGCCAGCGTGCAGCTGATGTTTGCATTTCAGCTTTTTCCCTTGGGCAAAGCAGCAAGTTGGGTGGTTGACACAAATTCCAGGTTGGAAACTGTTTGATTTTTCCCTGCAGGGCTCCCATCTTATGGGTGGACAGGAAAATGCCACTCTGGGCCATCCAGGTGAGTGAGAAACCCTGAGGTTACGCTTGTCCTCCGGAAGCTGCGCGGGGTTGATGTTGCTGAAGGTTTATGCCCTATGGGAACGTGCAGGCAACGGGACGGTTTGATTAGTTGGTGGGGCAGCCTCAGACCCTTTAGATCGGGGGTCGGCAATGTTTTTGGGCACCCGCAACCTCGACGCGGCGTGCCAAGGGAGCCACGAGGGGCCCGATCCTTGTTGTGGCAGCACAGCCTCAGCCCCTTCCCCTCTGTCCAGCCCCGGGTGCACGTGCCAAGCAAAATGTCTTTGCGTGCCACGCTCTGGCACCCTTGCCGGGGGTTGCCTACCCCTGCTTTAGATGATGCTTCAAACCGAGCCCCAGACAACGGTTTTCTTTGATTTTATTTTTCAGGTCAGCATTGCTTTAATCAGCTTTCTAGAGACCATGCTACTCATCTATCTCAGCTACAAGGTAGGTTCCTCCAGAGAAAGGAGCATGACCCCCTCACTTGCAGCTCCCACTGAAATCACTCCAAGTCCTTCCTTCCCTTCCCCTGCAGCCGTGGGTCTGCTTCCCATACAGCTTGACCGCGGGTGGTTGGAAATTAAAACCTGGATTAAATCCGCAAGCGGCCTCCGTCCATTATTGTGGGTCAAAAGGAAAAAAACCCAACCAAAACAAAAGCCGAGCCCCAAGTACTTCGGGGGTTTCAGAGTATTACAAATCTGGTGCTGGCTCCAGACCTGACCTCTGCAGCTGGAGTTTCATTTCTGATGCATTTTGAGTTTTCCCAACTCTCACTCATCACCCAGACCACTGAACTGAATCACCAGGCTGCTCGGCAGTCCCCACACCCAGGGACTATTCCTGGGAGCGGAGGCATCAAGTAGCTTTGTGCAGAAAATAGGAAGTTTCTTTGGGGAACTGGGCTGCAGACTCCCTTCCTCTTCCTGCAGCTTTGTCACCGGGGCTCAGTCCTGGACAGTGTCAAGTGCCTGGACTAGCAAAGCAAGTGACTGGCTTTAAGTTCACAAATCCTACTGACTTCAGTCCGGCACGTGCGTGCTGTGCTCTGCGGGAGGCCCGAGAGCCGGGCCCGTGGCAGCAACGAGCCCACTGGGAGCCGGTTTAGGGCTTAGCAAAGCCTAGTAGAAATATTTCCTGCGTCAGGGACACAGCTGGCTGTCCACGGGAGAGTTGGGAGAAGCGAGTGTAAATGGTTCCCAGTGGAAGGACGTTTGTTAAAGGGGCCTCAGCTGTTACATTAATCTTTGATAGCATTGTCTTCAGAAGCCCCAAGGCCTGTAATCTCCTCTGTACCCCTGAGGCATTCAGTTCACACCAGCCATTTTATCTCCTTTCTATCAAATTCCCTCGACCGATTTTCCGTCCGCCGTCGCCACGCTTATCTCATCCCCGCTCAGGCAATTGCATTACGTCCTGCACCATTTTCTGGCATTTCCCGCACAGGCGGCGATAGCGGGAAGGGGCCTTTTTGCAAACCACGTGGCTTTTTTCTTTTTTTGTGCAGCCCAAATCTCCCCACCTGCCCCGGTTACCCTGCATGACTGTCTGTGCCCAAGCGCCACGGGATTCGTGTGGTCTCATCCCCGACCAGAAGAGCCACCTTGTGCTGATAAGCCCCTTTTAAAATCCATAGTGACAACCCCCCCCAACTTTCAGCGGTGTTGCTATCGGGGCAGGGTCGGGGCACGCTCCTGGCACGGTGTTAACGAACCTTTTCCTTGCCGATGAGAAGAGGTCGTCTGTGTGCAGGCCTGGCAATCTGCCTCCTTTTATCGCCGTTCTTCAGCCAGCCAAAGAAACGTGACCTCCATAAATGCAGGGCTCTCCGAGTCCACTGCAGCATTTTTCCTTTTTCTTTTCTGACCGGTGATCTTTCTCCGGGCAGCTTAGCTGATCTGGATCTACCTGGGTGCATGAGCAGCTGTCCTTTTGGCCAGGTGTGAGCCCCGTGTGCGTTTGCAATGAGATTCGCAACCCTCTCTCATTGCCGTGTGTCCGGGCAGGTCATTCGATCCCTAAAATGATATGTCACTCTAATCAAACGCTTCCACCGTCTTGCGTTTAGCATAGCGATTCTGCGAGCACACAGCGGAGAGAGAGAAGGGGCTGATTTTCCTCCCCTCTATAGACATTTCCACCTGCAAAAGTGAGCGCGAGACATTCGTTGTGGTCACATTTTGCACTGAAGTAAATGAGGCAATGGAGGATGAGATCCTACTGACGATGTGCGAGTGTGAGAGCTGTGCGACTAGGAGACAATTCTCCTCGCCTTCTGTCCTGCACCCTCCACCGGAGCATTGTGCAGACAGGAAGATATATAGCAGCCGTCAGGCCGATTTCCTTCGCGCAGCCTACCTTTGCTCTATTCGGCCCCGTGCTGGTGTCTGCAAGCGGGAAAAGCGCGGTACACTTTTTGAAATACAGCATCAAATCCTTTTACCTGCCGGGGCTTTTGAATGAGGTGTGTGTGCTTTTCCCCTCCAGGCAATGAAACGTCAAAAGATTTGTTACCTGCATTGTTGCACTATTGAGGATTTCCATTATTGACCTCCAGCGGTTTGCAGGTTTTTGCAAGAGGCCGTCTGGACCTTAGTCCCTGGCTCAGGAATACGCCTTCTGAAAGCACCTACAGCTATGCTTTTGTATTCGTTGTATGTATATCCCATATGTTAAATACATACAGGGAATACGAATGTTTTCAAATGCTTGATGATTTCAGAGTAGCTTCTGCCAGCTGCTGTTACCTTGTGCCCGCTGGAAAATGCCCGGTACCTCTCTGCCTTCTATAATGCAGGAAGAGTTGGGGGTGAGTCACATTGCCTTGAATACTTTTTTAAGATGACTTCATTAACATTGATCCCTTCTACAGGGAAACATTTGGGAGCAGATTTTCCGCATTTCATTCATCCTGGAAATGATCAACACGGTGCCCTTTATCATCACAGTGAGTATTGGCTATTGACGCTTTTTAAACTAAGCAGATTTCAGTAAATGCTATACTTTTAATGTGGAACCACAAATAATAGGGGTCCATCCAAGACAGCAAACAGAGCTAGCCATTTTTTTTTGTCCCCCAATTTTTATCAATGGAAAATGACATTGAAGTTGTTTATAATGAAAAACCAAAGACCAGAAACTTTCCAGTTTCCAAAAATTAATATATATTTTTTCTCTATTAAACAAAGTGAAACTTTTCTTCCCAGGGGAAACAAATGAGATGTTTTCACTATTCCTATTTGGGCAACAAAGGAATATTCGTGGACCCAGAAAGCTTTGCAAGAGTCATTCAGGCAATACCATGTTCAAGGCTGCCTTTTTTTTAAGGTTTTGCATAATCGTAGAGAAGGTGTAGATGGCGTCCTGCGCGCCCGGCTGCTCTGAGCGAGCAGATCCTGATGGTTGGTTATCAAGGCTCCTGCACCAGCGCAAAGCTCGGTGCAAGATCGGGGTAACATCTGTAGCCGCAATCCAGACCCACTGGTGGGAGGCGTGGTGTGGACGGGAGTTGGGTGCTCGTACAGCTCGGTCACCAAACCTTGCTTCCGGCGAGATTGAAGTCTGGCCGCCGAACCCGCGCGTGCCAGCCAAGACGCGGGGAAGTTGGAGACATCGCTGCTCTGGGGCTTGGCTGTCAGGGAGCGTGTAGATCAGCGCAGCAGAGAGGATCGGGCCCCACTTTGCAGTCCCGGTGGAGGCCCATTACACCCCGTGTCCTCTGCCAAAATGCTGGAAATGAGATTCACAGCAGCCGGGCTAAGAATCTGTGAACTGTTCAGAGCTTGCTTGAAAAAAGCAATGTTGATTTGATGAGTTTTTCCCCCCCACAAGCCAACCTGTAAATACTGGTTGTTTCCTAGATCTTCTGGGCTCCTTTGCGGAATTTGTTTATTCCGGTTTTTCTGAACTGCTGGCTGGCCAAGTACGCCTTGGAAAACATGATAGTAAGTAGCTGCAGATCACCGCGGCCTCCGCCATTAGCCAGAATAGCGTCGTCTTAGTGTGCTGACCGCAAATCCTCCTATTCTTCCTTCCACCCCCTCTGCATCCACCTCAGCACACAGGCTGGAGACCTCTGCCGCCCGCTCTGCCCCCACGCCAGGCGGTCACTTGGTCATCCCTGTCCACCGCTGCACGCACCAATGCCCTTGTCTCCCCTTGGGGTCTCCCCTCGGCTGCATTCGGGGTGATCAGAGGTCACTGTCGGTGCAGAAACGAGCTCAGACTAGGCAAATCCTGTTATTTATGTGATGCCCGTCTCATTTCTTTCACCCCTTTTTGAAGTCAGGGTGCTGCGGGGTATAACCGTGTCTCCCACTGAGCGAGACGTACCTCTTTTCCAGAACGATTTGCATCGTGCCATACAGAGAACGCAGTCTGCCATGTTCAATCAGGTGCTGATTCTCATCTGTACCCTGCTGTGTCTTCTTTTCACAGGGTAAGTGGTCCCCCCCTCGCCCCAACAAGTGACTTAGTTGCAGGAAATATGTGTTTTTAAAATATGCAGCAATGATTCATTTGATAGAGGGAAAACCTTGGGCCCCATCCTACAAATGCTAATGCTTGTGTTAAGCTTTAGGCGCCATAAGTGGCCACAGCAGCAAATAATGTGAAGCACATGCGGGTCTTTGCCGGTTCGGGGGCTTCAGGACAAGGTGGTATAGGATGGTCTGACATGGGAGCGGCAAGGCTGGATTGTTTCTGGGTCACCTAGGCATGGCTCTTACTTTGATCTCCCTGCTTCACAGAGGAAATCGCACGAGGCCTTACTCGGGCTGCGGATAACCCAGCTCCTGGGCAGCAAGCCGAGTCTGGAGGCTGCATAGCACCTGGTGGCTTTTCCACCCGGTCTGTGCAAAGCCACAGCCTGAAGAGCAATAAGACACACAGGCCTGGGTCTCCGATACAGGCAGCTCAGCAAAACCTCTTCATCCTTCCCTTCATCTGACCTGAAGTGATGCTCCAGACCTTTGGAAGGTCCCAAATCACTTTTGTTGGGTATCATTGCTTCTGCTTCGTTCACTTCCTTGGCAGAACCAAAGCGCCGTGGCATGAGAGTCACTGGGCGCAAGACCTGCCTGCGTGCGTGTTGGGTACCACGGTGCATCTAACTCTTCATTTGCTTGAGCATAAGCCTGACTTAGCTGCAGAATTGCAGCCTCCCGCTTTTCTGTGTTGAAAGCCCGGGTGTCCCGCTTGCTGTGCGCCAGTACAGTTGCAGCATCGGTATGCTTGGTTTCAACTCTCTTGGCTGGTTTTTTTGGAGATTGATCTTAGAACGTAGATTGATGGCATAGTAAAATCCCAAACTGCTCGAGTTGCACCCCTGGCTAGTAAACCACGATCGTGGCGTGGGTGGTTGTAGGGACTTCTTTTCGATTACATGCTGTCTCGTGAGATTATAGGCAGGTCGAGCCCTTATTTCCACATTGGCTTCAGGCATGGGGGTCTTTCTGCTTCACCCGTCCTGGGTTTCTACTTCACGCGTGACTTTGGCACGTGGAGAGATGGAGCTGGGTTATCGCCTTGCAGACTCTCAAGGCTCACACCTTCTTCTCCACCTAAATAAGCAGAACTTGGCTCTTGGAAGTATTTGGCTTTCTCTTTTTCCCAAGAGCACTGGCCAAATACGACTTGAAAAGAAATAAGACCTCCCTCTGCCAGCTGCACAGTGTGGTGATGCCATGCACTGAAGCAGCTCGATAGATGCCGGTTTTCAGTCGTGCTTTGAAGTACCGTCCCTCGGACGACGACGCGTGGCAGGATACAAGGTGGCCGGTTGCACTTCTGTTCCCCGTGGATATGATCTGAGGCCAAATGCACTCTGAGGCAGTCAGTAACATTGTGCAGCTGCCGGGAACAAAGGCAGAAGATCTATTGATTTTCTCTGACTTCTTTCCCTTCCCTTCATCTCTGCACAAAATGACTGGTTTGCTTTTTAAATAGTAGGAAGAAATATTGCTCCCCTCTGAATGGCCGTGTGTTAACACTCGGCTAACCTAAATGGATGCAGTAGCCCTGGGATGGTTTAGAGCCGCCTCTGTAATTGGAGGCAGAAAGGCAAAAGCCTCTTAAGTGCAACAGTGCCTTTCTTCCCTTGTACTTATGCACCTTCCTAGGCACTGCTTTTGGGTGGGAAGAGTCCTCCTAATGTGCCCGGTCCCGGGGGAAACGCGCTTGAAAGGGCCTCTGCCAAGAAAGCAGAATTTTGCTTTTAAAGGTCTAATGGAAGAGCCATCAAAACAGAGCCTGTAACTCGTGGACCGCACTTTCCTAATGTTATTCCCTGCTGTCTTTGAGCAATCAAGAACAGAGTGGTGCAAGGGCTTGATTTTCCATGGCATTGAATTGCAGCTGGGAGGGGGCTTCTCCGTGCAATGCAACCACTTCGAAGCTTGCGGCAGGGATTTGCCGGTCTAGGCCCTGAGGCTGGGGAGCACTGCATGTCCCAAGAAAAGCCTCATCCTCCAGAGCTGTTTGCCCAAATCCAATTAGATTCATACATCTGTCCATCCCCGGCTCTATAGGGCAATCTGGAGTCAATACTTTGCCTTAGTTATTCAGGGCACTGCTTTCCAGTGAGTGTGAATTGGTTTTGACTCGTGTGGAGCTGCCTCAATTTACACCAGCTAAAAAGCCGGCTGTAAATCTTCACAACCCATTTTTATAGAAAGTTTTCTTTAAAAAACCCAACCCCAAACCACAATCAAACACAAAAGCTGTATTTAAAGCCTGATCTTCAGAGGTGCTAATGCCTGATAAAAGAGGCAGATGCTCGCCACTGATTCAGAGCTGCTCCTTACCTTACTTTGTCTTCCTGCGCAGTCAGCTTCAGGCGGATCACTTCTTATTTTAGGAACTAATTATCATCTCTAATTACACGATTTTAACAGAAACTTTTTAATTGGAGCATGCCAGGATCAGGGAAGGTATTGGGGAGAGGCGGTTTATGGAAATGCGTGCGGCTCCGAGCGGAGCAACGATTGCTGCAATGTCAAGGGCAGCGCCAATAATATTTTCCCGGGGGGATTTTGGGGGGGCAAGCGCTCAGCGTTGGCAGCTCCTGCAGAAAGGTTCGCTGCACTTCGCGGCCCCCCCTGTTTGTCTGTAGGAGGTTACCATGGCTGCCAAGCTCACGTTTGTCTCATATGCCAGGGAGGCAAGTGCTAATTAACTGAACCTATTAGCCTGTGCATTTGAAACAAGAGGGAGCTTTCATTCTAAAAAAAGGGGGCTTTTCCTTCTCAACTATTTAGCTTAGAAATGGGTCTCTTGCATTTCCCTTCTGGTTTGTCTTTCAGTCTAAACATACCAACTGTACTGGCGAGCGGAAAGACAGTGGTGCTGCTGGGGGTGTAGATGCTTTCAGACTCACGGCTCTTTTGGAATAAAACCAAGCGCCTCGTATTGAAGGCTAGCCGACTTTTGGACTTATCTGTGTGCTTCTTCCTGTAGCAGCACTGCCCTCTTTGGTCTAGATGTATTTCCTTTGGCTCTTGCCTGGCACTAGAATCCGTTTCTCAGGTAGCTTATGGGACGTTTCTATTAACCGTGATGGACTTAGAAACTGTGTGTGCAGAGTCGTCCTGGCTGTTCTCGAGGCGATAAGCTATTTGGCTTCGCCAGGTTTATTTTGGAGGAGAGCTGCAGGCAGAAGCGGTGGGGTTGGGGATCCAGCGCAGGCTTGCTGAAGAGCCGTGCCTGAAGTCACTCGTCTGATTGAGAGCCCTTACCGTCTTCTGAGTCACGCCGAGGAGCGTGGTCAGGACTGTTTACCTTGCTGCTATAATCAGCTCCTAATGGACTGACTCACAGCTCTTTGCCTCCCACCTGCATGCTTGACATATGCACGGTTGCCCAATGCCTAGACTTTTGGGCCACGGTCTGATGAGCATCTTTGCAGAGCTGGTGGCTTATCCCAACCAAACGGGTGCTCTGAAGTCAAGCCGACTGATGCTTGTGCAACTGCACTGACAGTGCTGGAGTTGCACCGGGGATGCACTCCAGGCAAGGTGAGACCTCTTTCCAGAGGCCACTGGAGGAGACTCCTCGCTACTTGGCAGGGTGAGCAAACCCATCCCTTTGTGGGCCGTTGTGTGCAAGCCTGATTGATCCGTGCTCCCTTTTCCTTCTTCCCCCAGAACCTGCGGCATCCAGCATCTAGAAAGAGCGGGCGAAAACCTCTCCCTCTTCAAGTCCTTTTATTTCTGCATCGTGACCTTCTCCACGGTGGGCTACGGGGACGTGACCCCAAAGATTTGGCCCTCGCAGCTCCTGGTGGTTATCATGATTTGCGTAGCCCTGGTGGTGCTGCCTCTCCAGGTAAGACCAGGCAGTGAAAAGACGGCTCCGGGTTAAGAACGGCAGTGCTTCTGGCACGCCGCAGCTCGCGGGAGGGGGCTTTCCACCTGGCTAGCCAGCTGAGTGGGGAGCGGGTCGGAGACAGAGAAATTCTCCACCCCGAGTTCAGAGGGAGCTTTGTTTCCGCTCTGCCGGGGAGCTGTCGACACCCTGCAGAGCCACCTTGCTGGATGCAATACATTTGGGACGAAACAAGCCAGCGCTGCCGCTCTCCCAGCCATCAGCACGATGCAGCAATGACAGCTGGTGGTCTGGAGCGTTCCCTCTCTCTCGTATCGCTTAATGGCAGGTGAGGACATTGTGGACACGCTCTTAGAAACAAGCCTTCCTCTGGGAGCGGATATCATCATAGCCTTCCTTCGCCAGCTGTCCGCAGACAGAACAAGCGCAAGAATGCGACGAGTCTGGCCCGTGTGCTTTAGCCGGGCGCTGGCTCGGTGCACTCTGGAAAGGCAGGATCTTGGCCCAGGAGGCAGCTCCTGCCAGGAAGCGGCTGAGATGACATGTAGAGGAAGCCTGGGAATAGATGCATCAGAGCATCGCGAGCTAGAAAATGTCACGCGTTGCTGCAGCACAAGAGAGAGTCACCAATGTCATGAGAAGTGCCTTGTTCACGCTGCATTGTATGTTCGTGGCCTGCCTGAGGGGAAGGCAAACCGGGCAACCGTCCGGGGTCCCAAAATTTTGCAACGATTTTTATTTTGGGGGGGGGAAGTTATTACAAACTTTGTTCTGTCTTCAACTTACGAATAAGTGGCATGGATAGGGCAGAGTGAAATCGAAAATGTCCGACTTGCTTATAGGTCATCACAATGAAGCCTCTAAGGGGCTCTAAATGACTCTCGCCCAGGGCCCCAACCACCCTAAGGCCACCGTTGCTGTGACGCATGCTTATTTTAACAGATTTTAACCGATTTGCCAAGTGATGGTTTTTGAAACGAAGCAGCGCAGGGTTTGGGTGAGGGTGTTGCTGTGTCGGATGTGTGTGTGGCCCCTTGTTGTTCTGCCCTTCAGGTAAGGCCAACACGGGCCTGAAAAAAAGCCTCCAGGTTCAGAGAGGCAACGTTTCCGGCATGCCGTGGCCTGTTTCAAGCTCCAGTCTGTGTGCATGCCCACACACACCTTTCCTACGGGCATTTGCAAGGCCTCTATCCCAGTAGTGTTTCACACTGATTCACACCTGCATATCTTTATGACCCACGGGTGGATAGTATTCTCCTTTCTCCAGCGCTTCCTTTAACCGTGCAGAGCATCTGGGCACAGCGGTGGCCGTGATCACCGTAGCTGTGATGCGCTGTTTGTAGCAATTCAGGCAAGAGGGATCTTTGCCTAGCAGCTCTCAGTGATCTGTGCACTTCTGCTTGCAGTTTGAGGAGCTCGTGTACTTATGGATGGAGCGCCAGAAATCAGGGGGGAATTACAGCCGTCACCGTGCCCAGACCGAGAAGCACGTTGTCCTCTGTGTCAGTTCGCTCAAGATCGACCTCCTCATGGACTTCCTCAATGAGTTTTACGCTCATCCCCGGCTACAGGTAAAGGCTGGGGTGGGTTATTTCAGCCCCTCCATCGTTAGCAGTTGAACCAGGGTCCTTACGTGGCTTGCCGTGTCGTTAGTCCTGTGTGGCTGCTGTTCATGAACGTGCTGCTTGGCACCGTGGAGCTGCGAGATGGTGAGCCAAGGAGACCTGGCAGGGATAGATACGTGGGAAAAAGATATCAGAGCAACGTAGCCAGTCTTCAGCATAACCTGGCAATTGGATTTAGTTCCTTGGATAAAGCAAATAAGCCAGGATGTGCGTGCAGCTTAAAAGAAACGTGTGCTGTAGTCATCAGTCCCCTGCCGTGCTACCACAGTGTTGGCCACAGCTTTGCCGGTCCAGCTCAGGTTTTTCTATAGGCGCTAATGCTATAATATTTTAAGTGCATAGAAAATGCCTCGACAGATGGACATTGTTTTCTTTTCTGGCTGTAGAAATTCAGAAGGTCTTTACTGTAGCTAATGCCATTTGCACAGTCAGGTTGTACCCAAAAAGGGGCCTGCCGGCTCCAAGTGGGATATTCATGTCTAGTCGCCCTGGTCCTTTCCACTTGCCCTGATACTTTCTGCAGACATTGGGAAGTGCGTTTGGGCCTCAGTTTATGTAGCAAATGAGTGCAACTTCCAGTCCAGCCCCACAAACAATATCTCGCCGCCTCCTGAATCTGCATTTCATTCCAGAACCCATAACGCTTTCACGACCCCAACTGTCCACCTTGCACCTGGACGTTTCATTTCCTAAAATTAACTAAGCTCAGAGCTCCGCTCTTCTGAGTGTATCGCTCTTTAATAATTCAATTGTCAGATGTGCCTGCATTAGATCTGTTATGCGAGTTTGCCACATAACGCCAGATGCCTGCTAGAATCGCCGCGCGCGTTTGCAGAGCATCGTGCTGCCAGGGTTACGATCCGACACGGGCTTCTCTCTTGCAGGATTACTACGTCGTGATCTTGTGCCCAACGGAGATGGACATACAGGTCCGGCGAGTCCTTCAGATTCCTCTCTGGTCACAGCGAGTGATCTATCTCCAGGGCTCTGCGCTGAAAGACCAGGACCTCATGAGAGCCAAGTGAGTCGAGAATTGGGTTGCACACAGCAAGACCCCCCAGACGGTGGGGAGGGGAGGCAAAGCCCTACAAGGCTCGTGTCATGATTACCAATGCAAGACCGGTACTGTAGCATTGATTGCCTTGGCTACAAATCTTCTTAGGTAGGCAGGGGAGAGAGGTTTGCTCCAAAATGCTCCGGCAGAAAGGCCTCTCTCACAGATGGTTGGCTGCAACAGTCAGGCTAAATTGTAGATTAAATGCTGGCCCTTTTAGTGCAAAGCTCCATCCTGTGGTTAGAAACCATTATTGGTAAAATGAACGCTCCTTGTGTGCTACCGCCCCAAGATTTCCAGATGTGAAGGTGGAAAGATGCTGTTAATAGAGACTACGAACATCTTTTAGGGAGACTCGGAGCTCAGGGTATTTATGGAGCTGATGCTCGCAGAAAAGCCCATGCTGCGCAGTCCTGACACCATGGCCTCCCTGGGCTCGCCTGTTATCCCCGTCCTTGTTTAAACAGGCATACAAACTTCACGGACCACGTCCATCCGTTTTCTATGGCAGTGCCGTACACCGTTCTTCAAAGTGGATTTCACAGAAGTCAGCTCTAGCCAGGCTTTCTTCATCCTGCCCATAACAAGACCAAGGGAGATGTAATAAGGGTGCTTAAAAAATGTCTTGAAAAGCTGGCAATTGCTAGCTCCTTTTGTATCCACATCCTAACCCAATAGCCCTCTTTTCAGAACCTCTCCGCTTCGCCGGGTGTTAAGGTGCCCGGCATAATGGATCAAAAAATGTCCTCATTTTGGGATTCAGCAGCAGAACCTGAAGACAGGATCTCCTGCAAAGCTCACAGCCTGGTTACCCAGGGCATCTTTTTTTTCCTGCAAGCTAGAAAAAAAAACAGAAAGGGAATGATACCCCTGGGAAATGCTGCTTTTGTGAACTCTTGACTCAAACTGCGGGCAGTGGAAAAATAACAAGTTTGCCCTCCTGGGCTTTGCTTCACCCTGGTTGTCTTTAATGTCCTGGGCTGCTTGTCTGTCTGCATTGCCCTGTAAATCTCTCCCGAGTGAGGTTCCTCTCTATGTCCAACAGTGCTCTGTGCTAGTGGAGGCCTCCTTGGAAAAGGGAAATTTTAATTACATTTTTTAGAGGAAGAGAAAAAACGGTATTGTAAGCTGATATGCCTGGGGGGGAAAGAGATGGTATCACATTAGGTCTCTTCTCTACTAAGTGGTAGGTAACCATTGATCGTTCTGGATCACGGTGTGTGCAAGAGACCAGCTTGCTAACAAAAATAGCTACCGTTGCTTCCTCCAGGAAAGCCAGGGATGCTTCAAAAACATACAAATGCCCCGGTTCTGCGTGGGTCTAGACTCATGGCTTAAATGCTGCAGCTGCCAGCCTCTGGCTTTTCCAATGCGGCTGCCTTTCCTGCCCTTGACGGGGCTGAACAGATGGGGGTGCTCGCAGGAAGGTTTTGGCAGGAAGAGCTGGGGGCAAACAAGACCTCCGAGTGTGTGCGTGGAGCCTGCGCTCTGCCCGCCAGAAGGACTAAGGCAGGCATTTGGGAGGCAGAGCTTGCCAAAGGGCTTTTTGCTGCCCAAAGCTTTCCGGCGGCAGGAGCCAGGCAGGCCTGGTAACAGCTGCAGGTCTTTCCATCTCCAGTATTCAGAAACAGCAGGACCAAGCCCAAGCATCCTCTGCTTTGGCTGAGGGTCGATGGGGTGCTCCAGGGCAGTCTGCGAGAAAGTCCTTTTACTCCCACAGGGTCCCTTTTGAGAGTCAGCCACTGGCTCGGAGCAAACTCAGCTCCATTTCTGGAGGGGCAGGGCTTGGCTTTCTTCTGCATGATTGCAAGGGTTGGATGTGGCACCTAATGTACAAGGTGCTTGTCCTTGTTGGGTATTTGGCCCCCAGGTGCACGGGGAGATGCCCTAGCACAGACCCACTCCAGGGCAATGAAACAAGTGCGCAGCAAGCTTGCATTTGGGCTTGACCTAGCCCCAGCGGCGCGGTGTCCTTGAAGCAAAACTCCTCTGCACAGGCCAATCTGGGGAGACGTGTTTCCCGAGCGTGGTTCAACCACGCAAGGGCTGATGCCCGCGACCGTGCAGGTGTGTCCTCAGCCGGCCCGGCTGTCAGCCCGGTGCTGCTCTTGCAATGGACTCCCTGAGCTCTTGACATCGTGTCAGACATGGCCGAGCGGGATCTTAGTGCCCGTTCGCCTGTCAGAGGGGATCTGGGAAGAAACACCTGGGTTTTGGCCACCTGGGAAGGGGGATGGGGTGGAGGCGCAGGTTGTGGTTGGAGTTAACATGTGCTCTGGAGATATCCCGGGGGATGCAGATGGCTGGCTTAGTGCAGCCTCCCCCGACACAGGGGTGAGAGGCCAGACGTCTGCTCACGGGGCTCCTGAGGGTACGAGAAGCATGTGGATCCGAATACCAGGTGCTGCTGCTGTATGCAACGCGAATATTATTAATAATGACCTCGTTCTTACTTAGTGCTTTTTCATCAGTAGACGTCAAACCAATTTACCAAGCAGATAAGGAGTTATCGTATCAAATGGGCAGCTGTTCTGTTTACCCTGCCTCGATCTTTAGCATCGTACAGGCATAGACAAGGAGGGCTGGAGGGGATCTCTGCAGGTCACCTAGTCCAACCCAATGGCATGGTCAGATGTCATGATTTGATACCTGCCAGTCACATCTGGTCTAACCCCCTGAAGCAGGACCAGCCCCAACTACATCATCCCAACCCAGGCTTTGTCTACCTGGGTCTTAAACACCTCCAAGGATGGAGACTGCACCACCTCTCCAGGTGACGTGTCCCAGTGCTTCGCCACCCTCCTCATGAGAAAGTTTTTCCTACTATCCAACCTCAACTTCCCTTGCTGCAGCTTGAGCCCATTGCTCCTTGTCCTGCCGTCTGCTCCCACCGAGAACAGGTTTAAGTCCAGGCTCGTTGTGGAACAAGGTTTAGTTGCGCCGTGGCTCTGTGCGGTGGGGGTGAAGCTGGGCTGCAGATCCCGAAGCGTAACGCGCAGCGCCTTCCTGCGCTAGCTTTCAATAATGTTCTCATTTAGCAGCTTTTAATTTGTTGCCTTGCTATAATTACACAGGTCAACGTGAAATGGCCTTCTTGCATGAATCGTGATGCTAGCTCTGCTCTTGATTATAACCTGTTTATAGTAAAAGGGCTGAGAGCCAGGCGATGTGTACCTTCTCTTAAATTGCCAAAATCTGGCTGGGAGACTTTCTTGTTGGGGCAGCATGAGAAACGCCATCCTGCTGGATCTGCGAGACCCACATCACTGGCTCTTTTTGTCTTACAGAATGGATAATGGAGAGGCCTGCTTCATTCTCAGCAGTCGAAACGAGGTGGATCGCACGGCTGCGGTAAGACGGGGCTGGTTTTATTGTAGACTGATACTTTTACGGCCAGCAGGAA